GAGTCAACCCCAATGCAATAAGGGTTCTCTTCAGCTTCCAGTCACAACCCAGCCTTGACAGTTCTTGGCGGTAAAGAATTCCACACATTCACTACTCTGAGAAGAAATTCCTTATCTCTGTTTTAAATGTGCGACTGCCTGATCGGAGATTATGGCCTCTGGTCCTAGACTCTCCGACACGAAGAAACAACCATTCTACATTGACATTGTCACGCCCCCTAAAAATTATATATGTTTCAATAAGGTCACCTTTCATTTTTCTAAACAGCGAGTACAGGCCCAACCTACTTGACCTCTTCTTGTTAGACAGTCCCCTCATACCCTATAATCAACGTAGTATGCTTTCTCTGGACTGCTTCCAATACCACTATATCTTTTCTTAGATAAGGGGCCAAAAACTCTTCTTTATTCCAGCTGTGCTCTGAATCAGCACCTTGTATTGTTTTAGCAAAACCTCCCTGTTTCTATACTCCATTCTCTTCGAAATAAAGACCAACATTCTATTTGCCTTCCCCATCCCTGCTGAATTTGAATACTAGCTCTTTTCTGTAAATTTCTGCTGAAATATCTCGATTTATGTACTATTCAGCTCTATTCTTCCTGCCACAGTGCACAGTTTCACATTTTCTCCACACTATATTCCATTTGCCAAGTTTTTACTCACTCATTTAACCAAGCAGCGTTGCATTTCATCTGCACAGCACATCTTTGCTGCCGCATATTATTGTAATTCTGTAAAAGAAAGAACTACTAAAGGTGCCACTCACAACTGTCTAAAACAATGATCAATGTGACAGCCACTACTTAAACATGTTTTCTTAAAATCACAGTAGTGTGTAACACAGAAATGCCTTGAAAGGGCTATCCACTTAGACCCACTCGTGGCCTTTCCCCATAGCCCTTCAGTTTTTTTTCATTCCATTTTAAATATGTAACTAATTTCCTTTTGAAAATTGAAGTACATGTAGTTGCATCATCTTTTCAAGACGTGCATTCCAAATTATAACTAGCTGCTATGAAATATTTACTGGTCCTCACTGGTTCCTTTATCAATTGTTAAATTTCTGTGCTTTGGTTATCTGCCCATGTGCTATTGAAATTGCTCCGTAATTATTGCGTACAAAATACCTTAATTTTAAATACTACTATAGACCCCTCAAAATTATTTATACATACATAATTTTTCTGACCTTGGAACACCCTAAAATGCTTTGCACACTATAATATTCTTTAGAATTACAGTCACAGTTCATCCAAAAAGATGCACCACCTCTGACAGTGCAGCACTTAGTGCAATGCTAAAGTGTCAGTTGAGATTTATGTCTCTGAAATGGGAATTAAAGTCACAACCTTCTGTTACAAACACAAGAGAGCTATCAATGAGCCACTGCTGAATTTTACTATTCCAAGGAGATCAATTGTGCGTGTCAAATATATTGTACATACTACTGCGCATTGATTAAATCAAAATTAATGTCTGCAGCAAAAAGGAAGCACAGATGCTGTTAGTGGTGATGCAAAAATGAGCTAGCTGGGGTGGAGAGGCGAGTGAGTGAACACTCATTATTAAATTAATGCTTTCAAAAAAGACCCAAAGTTAGTACTGAGAGTTCCACAGGTGGTGATCTTTGTTTTTACCCGAGGACAGAGGACACCTGTAAATATCGACAACCTGTCCAAGTTCACCCTGCAAACATCAATACCTTACAGTAACAGCCTGACCACAGAATACTGCAATTGTCATAGAAAATCTTTTATTAGGACAGTGACAGAAATTACAAATAAATACAGAATAGTGCAGTATCCCGCTCCAAACAGATTGAAAGTGAATATTGAGGAGTTCCTTACAGGCCAACTAACAAGCCTCAATCAGAAAATCTACATTCTACTTATTAATAAATTTTCAATAATCCTGATACATACCAACAGTAGTACATCAATGGGTATTTCATAGAGTAATGACAGACCGTGAGCACCTCTATTTGATTGTTAGATAATTTAAGAGTTTAGTCATTACAAGCACTGGACACAGGATTGTCATTTGATAAATCCCAGTGTTGCCCGACTCCTTTTTCCCGTATTCTCAATTCCACTTGTAGAAAGGTTAACGTTTGTGAACATTTAAATTATTTTCTCATATTTTAAAGCAAATTCTTGCAGGCTTCTTGCACACTTGTCTCTTCAGTCTTCACAATGTGCCAGCATTTGCCTGTCTACTTGAACACAGCTTTCCTCAAAGACCAGTAAATCACCCTGATAGAGCACTTACTACGAGCCTTCCTAATGTATTAGCTATCAATGGTATTGCAAATTTGCTGACTTGTATTCTAAACCATAGCTATTTGTTGCCTTATTCCCTTTGTTTCTGGACTTGGCGACACACATTTTACATTTATATAAAGAAACCACTTACATGTGTTCACTGCAACCAGGTAAAAGTGATGTCCCTTGTGGGATATAGAATCTCAACAGATTCAAGCCTATCCCTTTTATTAACAAATAACTGACCCTGCACATATTAGATTATCACCCATGCTCCTTCTGACATTTTTGATATTTTTAAACCAATATCCAGAATTTACTTCAGTAGTCTCCATAATAGACAACTTTAGTTGAGAATTTTAATTGCCTTCTGAATTCTCTAATTGCCTATTCATTTTTAAATTGTGTCAATATGGTAATCTGTCTGGATAAAGTGCACCAACTTCCTTTGCATGTTTGAAAATGTTTGCTTCATTGTATCAAATTTTATTGCTGCTTCTGGAATGTCTAGAGGCCATGAAAGGTGCTAAGTAAATACAAGTTATATTCTTCTTACTCTGCTGTCTTCATGGCAGCCCTTCCAGAAGTTACAAAAAATGCTGAAGACTCTGAAATTTCCATCTCCTTTAAAAGAAGAGGTACTTCCCAATCCCTGATCACCAGTTATGATTTTTCACTTGGTCACTGTGTTCTGCTCTTGTGATGTACAAGACTCTGATCTTGAACACCTGTTGAAACAACTGTCCCCAACCTAGGCATTGGCACTTTGAAACAAGTTGTCACAATGCCTTTCAAAGTCACATTCACAGGTATCCACATCCCTCTTAAAATCTCTACATCTATACGGCAGATAATCACTCAATATTTTCTGTTAACTGATGGTTTACTCGATCCAGTGGAATTCAGATGACTTCTTGATGTAAATTTCCTTAGATCACATGTTTAAAAGCCCACAACTACCTTCCTTTATTTAGCTCAACAACTGAATTGCACTTGGAGGTTAGGAGAAGGAATGAAAATTTATTTTAATTTTTCAAAACATTGATTTTTCAAATCTTTCCTCTTGGATAGGGACTGTTTGCTTCTCCAGGGGAATTTATCCTCCACTCTTAACGCGCTCCAATAAGTATTCCTACTCACATTTTGTTGCTGCAGTACTAAACAAAACATTCGGACATTTAACACATTTTCGCCATTCATCAACCTCATTGTTCGGACATCGAGATTCAATGCTCAGCTTCTGCTCAAACTCATTTATACAAGCAGAAAAAGGTAGGGAGTTCAAGTTTCAAGTGCTTGGAAATCAATATTCAGATGTTTAATTCCATTACATGTACACCATTACCTGGTATACCTAATTTTTTTACACAACTTCTTGCAGCATGGGGCTGCTGAAGAATATCACAGTAACTAGGAATTCTGAAAACTGAAGATATCCCCAGCCTATCATCTTTTTTTTTATGTTTATTTACACCATACCCATTTGAGTGCCCACGAACTTTAAAGTGTTTTATTGTAGGTTTGCATCCACAGTTGCTCCTCCAGTCCATGAATACATTCTAAGTAGGTTTTCATGCCATTAAACACTTCCATGCCTTCACCCTGGGGCAGATGATGATATTGTGGTAATATCACTGGATTAGTAATCTAGAACTAGACTATTGATCTGGGGACCTGGGTTCAAATCCTGCCACAGTATCTGGCGGACTTTGAATTCAATTAATAGAACCAGAATACAAATCTAGTCTTGATAATGGTGCTATGAAACTAAATTGATTGTCATGAAAATCCATTTGGTTTACCATTGTCCTCGAGGAAAACTGTAGCCCTTACCAGGAATGTCTGCGTGACTCCAGATTCACAGCAACTGCCTCTGCAATGGACAACAAATCCTGGCCTTGTCAATGATGTCCACATACCATGGCAGGATAAACCATCACGTTGCAGTTTTCACCATATTCAATTCAGAAAAAGGATTATTCACTCACTTCCTCTCATCACTTAGTTCCACCAGTAATTTAAATGTCTGGGTCTGGAGCTCATTCCAAAACTTTCCGCCTTATTACATTTCTCCATCACCTTCAAAAGACTCTTCACAACTGACCACTCTCACTTTGGTGTATAAAGATATGTATCATGCGTAGATATGATAGTGTTCATTTAATCACTATGTGATTTGCCAATTTATCATGCACTAGGCAAAATGAACTGTACCTTACTCATAGGGTAACGCAAGCTATGCAACTGGAGAGTTGTTGGAATTACTCGTGTCTTGAGCTCTAAATAGACTGACTGCTACCTAGTGGTTAAAAGAGCAAAATGGTGTGACACCTCGACTTACCCAATAGTACTGCAGTTTGCTTTGTTTTGAAACCCAGAAGTGTGTAAGATTCCCAATTATTTTCCTGCTAACTGATGAGGTTGAGCAAGGGAGTGACTGAGGAGGATATCCTTTGGTGTCTTAACATGTGATCTTACACACTGTACTTGTTTGATATAATAAGCTAATGCAGTTTGAACCATGGAAATGGAAGCACTGGAATCAGCAATTTCCAGGTAGATTTGAAGGGGGTTGCAGGTGAGAGCTGCTGGGAGGGCATCTCCACCACTGAGCTCATCTCAGACATGATATGTGAACACAAGAAGACCAGGTTTTACAAAAGTTTTGATGTTCTTTCAAATGAAACAAATTTGAAGTGAGAGGAGAATAAGAGAGTTTAAGATCTGACCATGAACCATCCAGTACACATATTCATTTTAATATAATTTTCAGCAAAGATGCAAAAGTTGATTCAAGATAAAAATGTAATATATATACACAGACAAGAAGTTCAGCGCGTGGACTCAATTCTGAAGCACATTTACATTATGCTAGACTGCTTCGAAAAATTAAGAGCTCACTAAACCTTGCACTAGAATTCGTATTTTTGACATCTTTTGCAACATCTTCAACCAATGTAACAAAGTAATTAAAAATTAAAGGTCACTTGAAAACAAATTTGATCAGAATACTGGACTGTGCATTTCAGTGAGTGATAAACAAGGGCAGATAACACAGCACTGAGCTACCTGCTCGAAAAATTGGGCAAACAATTACAGATGTGATCCAAATTACCAGGTGGTGACCAAAACATGGTGTATGGTGTATGGTGTATGCAATGTTAGCCAAATATTCAGTAATGCACTGTATATAAACCACCTTAAAGGCAAGTTAAAGTTAAGACAACTTAACAGTGAAGAAAGAACAGGTAGACATCATACCATTCCTGAAATAATGAAAACAATTTCAATTAAAAATGACCCAGGCTCTTTTAGGACTACATAAAAGTTTTCAGTCATAATAGAGGGTTAAACGTTCTGAAAAAGAGAGAGAACAACAAAGCATAGGAGGAAAAAAAATCAGAAGGGCTATGATACAACCTCTTTGAGGTAGGTGGGTGGAATTGTTACTTTGAAACATTTGCCATTGTCACTCAACTTGGCTTGTGATCCTTACTCTTCTGCCAATATGAAACAAAAGCCCAATATCTTCAAGAATTATTCAAAGTATTTTGCAAACAGGCATCTGGCCTCATTTACTTGAAGTTGGACTCTGTATGCCTCCGCACCCATAGGAATAAGTTGCTTCAAAGTACATTCAATGATGGAATTGAAAAGAAATTCTACACAACAGTTGGTTTGAGAGAAAATGTTAAACACTAAAGTACAGAGCTGAAAATGTTACTCAGGTTAAGCAATGGATACTGAAAAGTTCTCTCAGAGAACCTTAAGCAAAATCTCATAGGTTGCATTTATTATGCCCCATGATAAAATTGACCGGTGATAATTGAGGTATACACCTCTCATTAGGTGGGACACTTTGCCATCCCTTTCAGTCCAGATTTTCATGAAGACTTTTGCAAAAGTCTGAAATTCCCCTCCAACCTGTGACTGCATACGTGCTTTCACCACATTGATTGGATAAAATATTATGCCGAGCAGTGACCCCAGAAATCCCCCACAGATGAAGTCATTGAGAACATTCATACTGTACGTAGTGGCTTCTGGCAGGGACTGCTTGATAGGCCCTCGCAAAGCAAAGAACAATGCATTACTGGGTCCATTACGGAGAAGTATTGGTACAAGGCCTCTGTAATATTCTTTAATACCATAGGCTCTCAAAACCTTGAAGGCATGGAAGGTATTTTTGAATCGGTTATGATGTCTGCGATCCTGCAGCAAAGCCTGTACTCTCTCAAATGGTGTCAGAACTGCTTCTGCAGTCCCTGCCAATACTGCAGACACACTCTGATTGAACAGTTCTGGAGCATTAGTTGTTCTCTTCAAGAGACAGGAGAAGTCTTCATACAAGCCAAACATCAATGCCACAGTTGTAGTCTTTTGCAGGAGTGGTGGCAGAATTCCTCGATAAAGATTGCGAAAGCCATCCTGCTTTAGCTGCCGGATAGCATTCACTGTCGTTAGTCCATACAGCTGTTGTCGAAACAGTACTTTCTGAATGGGGAAGGTGATAGCAATGTTATTGAAAGCTGCAAAGAAGCCACAGAGATAATATTTCGCAGGTCCCGTCAATTCTTGTGTCGAACTGGGTAAGACAAGGTCCTTTGGTCTATTTTGTGCTTCAGTATCCATTTGTCTCAAGAGCTTATCCTTCAGGATCAATCAAACTGTTCTCAATTATCCACATGGTCCTGTAGATTGTAGTTGGAAGGTTTAGAGATTGCACATATAAAATAACTAACATTTACAATCTTACGGCAATTAGAAGTTTTATGTCTTTAAAATTTCTGTATAATCTTTAAGAATCCTTGCAGTTACATAGTTTTTTAAATGGGCATCATTGGCTAGGCTAGCATACATTGCCCATCTCTAACTATGCTTGAGACGGTGATGATAAGTTGCCTTCTTGAATGGCTGCAATCTATGTATAGTAAAAATTGTCACTACGCAAGCTATTTACAGGGCACCTATGTAGTAGTAGAATAGGGTAATGATTCTGTTTAAATCAAACAGCCAGAATACACCCCTTTATCTCAAATACAAGTCTTCCCAGTAACAGAAGTCCACCAAAACTGGAATGTAAACCGAAATGCAATTGAAAATAAGACCTTGAAACAGTTAAAAAAAAATTAGTAAAAGTAACCATGTACCTGCAGGATTGTTGTAAAAACTCAACAAATTTATTCTTTTTCTTTAGAGAAGAAAGACTGCCGTCCTTACCTAGTCTGTCCTATGTGTATCCAGTTCCATACCAACATGGCGGACTCAGTTACAGAAAGTGAATCAGCAGATTCAGCACAACTGGGGATGGACAATGGTTCAATGATGTCCTCATGCTTAGAATAGAACAGATATAAATAGGTTTACATTCTAAATTCAATTAACATTACTTTGGACATTGAGTAGGCCATCAGTTCATACATGCATAACAGGGATCATTACTTACATTACATTACCAGTCAAAGAAAACCCAGCAATAGATAGTTTATAGGTGAAGTTCATAAACTGTCTGTGTGTAACAGTGATTTCAATCCCAAGATTAGAACACAGCCTCAAGAATCCTTCTGCCGACTCTGTGTGTGTACATGAACAACAGTAGTGTGTACAGGTTGGGGGAAGAGAGACTGAGGGCATAGGCGAGAGGAGAGCCAGAAGAATTCCACCAGAACTTGCTATATACTTTGTGTCCTTGAGATGGTAACATTTTACAAAGGGCAATTGTTCAGAGAAAGATATGAATGAGTTACACATTAGTTAGTAGAAATTAATTGACTGTACTTATTGCAAGTTATCTAAAAGGCAGATGGCGAACAGCTTGTTGTCCCATACTTGAGGTCAATGATACAAAAAAACACAAGCATTTTATGAATGCCTGCAAAAACCCTCAGGCAGCTGGGCTGAAAACATTCCTAGCAATTTTAACAGTGTTTTGATTATTGATTTCTTCCCACTGGTACAATTGTCAACTTTGTTTAAAAAAAAAACTTCAATTCAGAAAAAAGATTGAGATTGAACTACATGGTTTTATTTAAGAATGTGGGAACGAGCCACATTCAATGCCTTTGGCACTTTGAAGGAACAAAAATCAGTCAGGACTCCCAATTATATTCACCTGCTAGAAATTGCACGAATTGAAGTATAAATCAGTTGAATAAAGTGACACAATAGCAGAACAAAAACAAAGTTGCTGGAAAAGCTCAGCAGGTCTGGCAGCATCTGTGAAGGGGAAAACAGAGTTAACGTTTCAGGTCCGGTGACCCTTCCTCAGACACAATAGCAGGGCTGATTTGACTTTGCAGTCTTCAAAGTGATTAGTATGTTTACTGTTTGAGCTCCCACTTGAAGATCAACCTCTTCCATGCAGCATTAAGAAAATTATGTAGACCAACCTTCATAAGATAGGGTACGTAACAAGACAACAGTATTAAGGCCAACTCCTTCCAATGTACAAAGTTCAAACGTTATGCAACAGCTTCAAAAAGAACATACAAATTATCTTGGTACAGATTGGGCAAATCCATGGCTGTAGTTTAGATACTCTTGTGCATGGGAATTGAGAACTTAATAATAATGTTATAACTTTGAAAATCCCATGACTTAATTTACAAAGAAAATCTGTTTTTTGGTCCAAGTCACTTTAGCTTGTTTCTTTTCTCACCACACAGTTTATTGCATTACTTCACATTAGATCATGACAGATACTTGTTACTTCACTACTCTGGGATTGTCCAACTGAAGGGAACTGTTTTGTTAAACACAGTAGATGCAGTCAAATTGGGCTTGGCTGCATGCCCCAAAAATTTAAACAGTCCTTTGCTACTCAAATTCAAGCTAATATTTGAAATGTTACATGGACAAAAGTATATCAAAAGGAGCCTTGAGCCACAACATCTCACCGGAGTTCAGTTGTCAAAATTACAAGGGTAACACATTTTTAAACAGCAGCCAGATGATGTACGTAGAAACAAATCATACATTCCTGACCAATGAACTGTCAGTATGTAAAGCCAAATTTAATTAATTTGTAAGCAACTGTGATGTAAATTGTCATTTAGTTGCTTCTTCTAGTGAATATGAACCCAATTATGAATGGTCTGTCAGAAGACCATGTGTCACTCCATGACATCTATCATTACAACTGTAATAAAAGTCACTTCAATTCAAAAATGTAGTAAGGTATAAAATAAAAACCAAACAAAGACTTGCAGCCCAGGCAGCTTCTACTAGGGTATTCGAAAAGACAGTTGACGTTTTATCTGACTGTATTTAAATAAAAAGATTTTTTTAATGAATAAAATATATTTTTGAAATTTAAAAAAAAGTGAGGATTTTAATAACTTACATATCTTAGACCAGGATCTGCATGCCTGAAGAGTAGCAATTACTATTACAGCGCAGTTGTTAGTTTTGAATATAGCCATATCAAACAAGACCCTTGTAGACTATTTGTTTATAATATAATGCTAGTTCTAAAGGAAAAGTCAGAAGTCACACAATGCCAGATTATGGTCTAACAAGTTTATTTGAAACCACAAGCTTTCGGGGCGCTCCTCCTTTGTGAGGTGAAGTCTGGTGAAATCTGTTGGACTATAATCTGGTATGGTGTGATTTCTGATTTTGTCCACCCAGTTCCACCACTGGCACCTCCACAGCAACTTCTAAAGAAAGTAATTGGTATCTGAGCAATACTGAAATTTCTCCCACTCAATGATAAGTCAGATAACTCCAGTATATCATGGTATAAATAAGACATACAGGTACAGGAATTTAAACTTTATTCTATAAGTCCTAAAGCTGAACTTTTCAGAACTAAGATTGATAGATTTTTGGTGTATTAATGAATCAAGGTATATGAGAAAAACAAATACAGGGAAGTGGAATCAAGGTACAAATCAGCCAAGATCTAAATGAATAAAAGGTAAATTGGACTACTCCTACTTTATGATGTTTAACTTTGTTTTGTAGTAACATGAAATTTGTATGATTGCCAGAGGAGAGTGCTGATCATACACAAATAGGTACTTTTTGGCCTGCAATACAAAACACTGTTATCCAAACACAAATAATTTCAAATACCTTGAAACCTGAAGTAGGGTTTAAGCAAAAGCTGACAAAGACCTGATATTACCAGGATATAGAAGCAAACCAGTTCAACCAGAAAAACAATCTGCAATAAGAAAACAAATGGCAAACATTTTCTGAGTAGTTGGTTAGGTATAACTCCATCGATTCTGCATTAAAGGTTTAGATAAATGCAAGAAGTGTCCTAATTTACTTAATGGAGGCATAATCAAAGGAACATATTAGTATGGTTGACAAAATGCTTGTCCATGAAGAGGCTTTGAAGAGGAAATGACGCAGAAGCACTGAGGGGCTTAGGAAGAAAAGTCAAGAGTTTGGGACCAAGGAAACTGAAGGTATGGCTGTCAACAGATGAGAATAGGCATCTGGAAAGAGGCCAGTATTAGAGGAATGGAAAGTCAACATATCTATAAGAATCCTGGACTTTTAAAGTAATTTAGTCATCTACTTCTATAGTTATGAGTGCTCAATCAGTCACGTCTGAAATAAAAATCTCCAGCTTTTAAGTTACAAATCCAAATCGGACAATTAGCTAAGTCAGCTCTTCCTTGATCAATATACTTATGCACTACATTAACAGTGACTGAGACATCAGGGAATTACACATCAGTGAAATGCTTTGATACTTTTTTTATTGCTACTTGCAGGAACACACACAGTACCAAACCACACACTCTTCGAATGCAAGAGTTCCCAGATTCAAGCACAGCCATTTTTTTACAGCATTGTTTTCTGTCTCTCTCAAATCCATTCAGATCAGGAAGGAAGTGGTATAAAAAGTGAAGAAAACAAAATACAAAAATTATAGACTACTCTGCAAAAAAAAAAGTCAAAATGATATTTTAGATTCCTGCATCCATCACTTAGAAAAGTAAAGAACTTTCTTAACACGGAACAATCTAAACAGACTAAGGATTACTAAAATTATCTATTTATAAAAATATTAAAAATAGTATAGACCCAGAAACATGGAAGACAGCTTAGATTAATATTCCTACGTTAAAAGGAAAACAAAAACAAATCCAATAACTATAAACCAGCTAACAACCTCAGTGACAGGAAAGATACAGAAACAGAATGCTTACTCAAAAATGTAAAATAAAAACATTCAGAACTGAAAACGTAACTGTAATCAATGCCAATTCCAGAAGGAACGTCATGTTTATGGTCACACAGGAGATAAGGGTATATCCAATATGCTTGGATTTTCAAAAAGCCTCAATAAAATACTGCATGGTATACTCATGATGAAATTCAGAGCAATTCAGTGTCTTGAAACGTGTACCTGGGGTAGAACAGATGGCAAACTGGTTACAAAACGAAGTAGGAGTTAAAGATAGCTACTCAGCTTGATGAAAAGTATTAAGTAACTGGTTTATAGATCAATGGGACCATGGCTGTTTTCCATTTACATAATCAATGTGGACTTCATAATTGAAGTAAAATATGAAAAATTCTGGATAACACCAAATTTGCAGGGGATAAGAAACCATAATAATTGATGAAACTGTTAACAAAATACAAGACATTAAAGGCATGCAAATGGAAAATGAATGTAATTACGTGTTCAGCGGTGCATTTTTGTAGGAAAGATAAGGAGATCATATGGTCCTTGGAAAACAGTCTGAATAGGATAGAGTGACAAAAGGATACTGGGTTTCAGATTTACAGATCATTCAAAGTAGCAGTGCACACTAACAAGACCATAAAAATGTAGGTAAAGCATTTTAGTTCAATATAGAATTGCAACTGAAAAGCAATGAAGTTATGTTATATAAACAAAGCACTGGAGAAACTCTGCTGGTCTGGCATCATTTGTGGAGACAGAAACAGAGTTAAGGGCCAAAAAAAGGTGCAAGAAAGATTTTCTGACATATTGTCACAACTGGTAGCTTGCATCTATCAGGAAAGGCTGGGGTTCTATTTTCTATTCAATAAAAGATTCAGGGATGACCAAGAGAGAGATAGTAGGAACTGCAGATGCTGGAGAATT